CCTATCCCCTGTATGAAATACAAGTCTCGTGAAATAAATAAATGTGTCATTATGAAATACAAGTCTCTTGAAATAAATAAATGTGTCATTATGAAATAAAAGTCTCTTGAAATAAATAAATAAATTTGTCATTATGAAATAAAAGTCCCATGAAATAAATAAATGTGTATTTAAATGTACATGTATACATATTTATTGCCTCATTTATTTATTTCAGAATTTATTTCATAGGCATATTTATATATATATGTATTTATATAATTATTTATGTATTTATTTAATTTTGGCTTAAATGGCATTCCATAAAAATTGCCATGACATGGGTTCTTTAAGACAATTGTCAAACTTTATCTCGCTTTGCGTCTGTTCGACTACATCTGCGGTCGATTACTTTTGCCTTGATAGCTGAAAGTCGTGTTGCTGGGTGGATTGCTCTGTAATCGTTACCTCGTGATCACTACCTTGTTTACTGTTCATCAATCAACGGTGAGGTACATCTGTTCAGAGAGCTCTAACAGCAAACCAGAGAGAATCCGCCAAAGACCGACACACACCGAAGAGGCTACCATGATCGCCCGGCTATGAGACATCTGGAGCCATGGCGGCTTGGCACCGGATAACCGCCCTATCTTCGCTGCTCCAAGTCGGGTTGTTATTGTTGTTATTTTCGGCTCGGAGCAGCGGGAAAACGCTGGAGAAATGTCTCGGAGGCAAATCTTGCCAGCCCCCAAGACCCCCCGTGGTCCTCAGTAAGTGTTTTCTTCATTGTTTTTACTCTTGTTACTGTCTGTTGCTTTATTGCGCAACAGCCCGGCAACCAGCACATCAACAGCTAGCTGCCGTGGGCAATATTCAAGATGGGCCAAACTCCCCTCAAAGTTTTATAGTTTAAAGTTTACACCGCCTCTGACTCCCGTTCATCGGCTCTACAGCCAATTACATATTTTTGGGCGTTTTGTAAACCTTATAACGCTTCATTTAAATCTCAGCAATGTTCAAATTACTATTTGGCAATTCGGCTGTTATATAGATATCCAATGTGTGCATACGTCGATTACAAACTGTTTAACTTAAGTAAATGTTTGGCCTGTTGGTTCATCTTCATCTTCCAACAAAACGCCCAAACATTGGTCGTAGAGAACAGTGTGTACCACTGGTTACTTACATGTCAACATTAACCTGAAGAAATTCAATCTCAATCATTGAAGTTTCTGCCGAATAGAAAAACAAGTTCCGAAAATGTATTTGGTCATCGTTTGTTGAGGATTTAATGGGACTGTCAAGGAATGTATTTAAATTTGTATATTTGTGAAAGCAGTCTGGCTCGGCACTGTCAGGGAAAGTATTTCGGATATCGGGAACAAGAGCCCTTATTACCACACTAATGTGCACATACAAGATTAGTTAACATTTAACCCATTTTTTATTTGCATACATAATGCAGGTTGTTCTCCTCTTCAATGTGAGAGTGTGTTTGTTTGCAGGCAGAGCAGTGATCATATGACTTGAGTTATTCATGCAGCCAATCATGTGTCCAGATTACAGAGGAAGGCTCTATCTAACTTTGTCCTAAAATACACTTGTATGCCTTTTATTTAAATTTCAATCTATAATCCATGTTTAGAGATATAACATTACCCCTAAACAGCTTACATATCTGCAATTTCTCCTCTTACACAACTCCTTTTTGAAAGGTTATTGGATTTAGAGCAATCTTATCATTGTTTACAACCACAGCCTCTGTCTGTCCTCATGAGTGTGTCATAAGAGCCTTTATAGCTGCTCGACCTACAGTTATCTGTTGCAGTTTGTTTGCTAAGGTAGTTATATACTTGTGAGGAAAGGTGTTTTGAAATAATTCTTACTTAACCTCATGTTGATGCTATTACAAACCAAGTTCCTGCAGATTGAATAACATTGTTTAAGTGGTATAACACACATCAATAGAGAATGGAAAAACACGTTGCTTTTCTTTACCTCTGTCGTGTCCTTTGATTTAATTATCAATAGTACAGTCTTTTCAAACTGCCATTTAACAAGCATTTGAGTGCTTATTGTCACTCAAATTAGTGTAACATTCATAGACAAAAGCCTGTGTGTGGTTTTTGTAAGTTTGTCACTTTAACAACCTGAAGGTTTTTTTTTTTTTCGATTTCCAGTCCACTTTGTAGAAGTGGTCAATATTTATCATGCTAGACAAAATTTGAACCTTTCTGATAAATGAACACTGACTCAAACTCACCCCATATACCACTTTCTTTATGTCAAATTTAAGCCCAATAATCAGGAAATCATATTTTTTTCTTAAAGCACTGAAACAAATGACACATTTATAGCTTAACATGCTGCACAACTTTTTTCCCAATTTGAACGAATAGAGAGAATAAATCTTTCAGTCTTTCAAAAAAATGATGTTTGATGTCTGCCTTTTCTCAATATTATTTATTTTCAATGTCAGTGTTTAAATCTATATGCATTTGCTACTGGGCCTTCATCATTGAGAACTGGCCCAATACATGACTTTACAGCTTTGGATTGTTAACATCAATTCCTTAATGTTCCAGTGGGAGAAATGTGGCTTGCAGCAGAGCTAAGATGAACAATGGCAGGACACATATACAACAATAAAGTATATTAAAAGATGTAAACATAAATGTGAATGTTTTAAGATAGGATTGGACAGAATAATGTGATACAGTGCCAAATATAAGCAAAAGGTGCATGGGTGGAAAGTAGTTATTACCTTTACCTTTTAAATCTGCATGTTTTTAAAAGCTATCTCTCTTGTCTTAATTCAAGTTTAGCTATTGATAACTGATACAAAAGTATATCCATTTTTAAAAAGAAGTCGAATTGCCATCAGAATTTATTATAATTTGAATCTATCCACAATCCTTTGCTAATTGCTAATGTGGCTATTTTCTAATGGTACTCTTTGATAATGTGAGTCTTTGATAATTTGATTAATTAGGCTAAATGCTGGCTTATCTATTAACAGCTTTTTTGAAAATGTACTAATCTGACTCATTGGTAATGTAACTTTTGATAATATGGCCAATTGCTAGTGCAACACTTTGCTAATGTGACTTTTTCCTAATGCTAATGTGGCTAATTGCTAGTTTGGTTCTTTGTGAATGTGGCTAATTGCTAATGTAACTCTTTGCTAATGTTACTCTTTGCTAATGTGGCTAATTTGACACTTTTGAGCCTAATTGCTACTGTGAGTTTTTACTACTGCAACTCATTACTAATGTTGCTCGTTGCAGTTCCGGGGGATTTGGGAAACCAGTTGGAGGCAAAGCTGGATAAACCCAGTGTGGTCCATTACATCTGCTATAAGAAGACAGACTTTTTCACTTTGTGGCTCAACCTGGAGCTGCTGATCCCTGTAGCCATTGATTGTTGGATTGACAACATAAGGTATGACGTGAGTTTCTATGTGCACATAAAGTACTGTTTGTCAGTCAGGAACTCACCAAATTCACAAGATGTTTTCTCATGAAGTTTGTTTGTCATGTTTGCCATCAGAACAACAGAGAAATATGATGTTTGTTTTCCTGCCTCTATTTTATTTTGTGTGAAGAGATCACTAATATTACATTTTATAATTATTGAATGTTAATCTGGGTGTTATTTTTCTGCAATAAGGTGACCCTAAAATGTTTCACCTATGCTGTTTTGTAGGAATACAAAAAAAACAAAACATTCTGTGGGACAAATTCCAAAAGTGCAAATCCCTGGAGGTGTTGTCAACAGGATAGAGATGGGGTACATGGGTTCAATGACCTCTCTGCATGAACAGTTATCAACCTACATTGGAAAAACAGACCTTTGAACCCCCATTAATCAACAAGGTACAGAAGGAAACAGAGAAAGAGTTAGCATTCCATAAATGTGTCCATCACCACTCAACTGAAAAAGAGTTACAGGTCACATATTTAGCCATTCAACTTATCAGATCTTACAAAACTTATTAGAGCATATTATTATATAGCTTGAATGGTGTTCAACTGGGACAAAATCCTGTAATTCTGAGAAGATATATTTTGTATTATTGTTATTTAGACCTAAGAAACTACAACATCTCCTTCTTAAAAACATTGTTGTGCTTTTTTTCAATAATATTGAATTGTTTCTCTGCTCCCTAATAATACAATGTGCTTTTATTTATCCAGGCTGAAATGAGCTAAATAAAAGGAGTTCTCATCCAAAAAATGATAAACATTCAACATGAAAACAGAAGCTAAAGGATTGGTTATCTTGACCAACATTGTGAAATTAGGGCAACCTGAGAAGACATCTTGTGTAACTGGCTGATCATTTGAGTGGCTGGCATGGCATTTTAGCAGATGCACAGTAGTTCATGTAAAGCTCAGGCTTCTCCTTAGAGTTATGTGACAATATTCTTCGGCAAATTCTGCAGGCATTGGATCCCTGGAAAGTGTAAGGTTTCTAAAACATGTGACTATAATTTCACTGATTTATGACTGAAGTTAATTGCGAGGCAAATTGCAGCTCACTTCATTCCCATGAGACATGAGTAATTCTACGGGTTTATTCATGTTGAGTTGCGTGCCGTGAGGCTTAATTGAACTCTGAGTCAGTTGACGATGTTTAGTTCAATAACATAAATCCACTCTGGCCTATTTAACTGAACTAAGAGCTTCAACCTACCATATTTTTAAACATATCAAAATGTAATTGGTTCCCAATGCTACTCAGTCTAAGGCTTTTCTGCCATCAGCCGGGCTCCTCCTCTCCTCTTGCCAGTTTGTCCTTGCCGTAACCAACACAACCACTAAGCTTTATTAGAATTATTGTGCGATTACATCCATAATACAAAGTAAAACCACTTTTAGCTATTAGAAAAAATGTTGGCAACACTAACAAGGACACAATACACATTGTTTTTCAAGACTTTCTGTTTTATATGCTAATATTTGCCAGGAAACCGTACCTGGTGGCAGACAGAATTGCAAAGTGATAATATGAACTTTAGGGAACCAATCAGAATGCAGATGGTCTCATTATTCTATAGCCATCACATTGTGCGATCAATATTACTTTATGATACTTAGTGAAGGAAACATGTTTCTATATCCTCTTTGAATTTGCTATTAAATAAATGAACCAAAATGCAGTTTATGGGCTTATTAATTAATCAGTTTTATAGCTTCAAAAAAAATCTAGATTTCATTGTGCGACACTTCGTTTTACACATCCTCTTTCACATGATGAGTGAGGGAAGTTGTTGTCACACAAACCGAGGATGTGGGTGATTATAAATGGGAAGTGTATCTGGGCCTTGTAGTAAGATGTATCTGTGAGTGTAAATGCATTTGGTTTACCAAAGAAGCAAAATTGACGTGTGTGTGTGTGTGTGTGTGTTAGGCTTATCTACAACAGTACCACACACAGCACCTCATCCCCCCCGGGTGTGGAAATCCGTGTCCCGGGATTCGGACAGACGTATTCTTTGGAGTATCTGGACCCCAGTAAACGTAGTGTAGGTGAGTAAAAGGTCCAAAACCATTCTTGGGAGAAGTGGGGACCAAGCAAAATGTCCTTGCCTTTTAATGGGTCCTTACTAGGGTAGAAAAACAAGAATTAAATGTGTCAGGGAATTTTTTTTCGTTCCTAATGTTTGTCTGTGTGTGTTTCTCCTAGGCATTTATTTCTTCACTATAGTGCAGGCGATGGTAGAGTGGGGCTACACCAGAGATGATGATGTCAGAGGAGCGCCCTATGATTGGAGGAAAGCCCCCAGTAAGCCACCATGCACACACTTACATTAAAACCCTGGACCGTTACCCTAAATTATGAGCCTTCACTAGTAAAACCCAAATGACACTTCCTCATTCTTGTCGTTTTAAAAAATGATTTACTAAAACAATCTTGAACTAATTTATAATTGGAGAACCTGTATGTGGTTTGTGTCCAGATGGAAATCATGGCGGTTTTTAACATGTCCCTAGAGAGTTTAACAAAATATATCATGAGGGAAATAAGATGTGAACATCATGGATGAGCAAACACAGAAAACACATTCAGACAGCCACATACCCAAGGAACGAATAAGAGCTGCACAGTCAGGCCGCTTGCGAACAGGCAACTGCTTGGGGCCCCGGACCAGAAGGGGGCCCCCAAAGAAGGTAGATTAAGAAGGTCCACAGCAACGACAACATAAAACACCCTTTAATTTACTGCAACAACATGTCGGGAAACCCCCTCAAGGCGGCCCCATGCATAGAGCCGTGCAAGTTTTGTTGCCTTGCTCCGCTCCGGGGGGGGGGGCGGGGGGTGCTGTCGGCTGTGCGTGGTGATGAATAGCTGGTTCGAGGGGCCGCCAGTGAATGATGTTTGCCTAGGGCCCCCACAGACTCTAGAATCGGAACTGTGCACAGTTATTCAAAATTGCAAAATGCACTAGTGTGATATTCAAATTGCAGTAGTTACAATATTTGTTAAATGCTAAATAAGTGTTTTAGTTGGAGCTTTCCATAACATAAACATAAGACTACTAGCAAATGAGAAGTTCCAGAGAAGAAGGGGTATATTGCAAGCTGAGTCTATACAGTGGGGCAAAAAAGTATTTAGTCAGCCACCAATTGTGCAAGTTCTCCCACTTAAAAAGATGAGAGGCCTGTCATTTTCATCCTAGGTACACCTCAACTATGAGAGACAAAATGAGAAAAGAAATTCCAGAAAATCACATTGTCTGATTTTTAATGAATTAATTGGTAAATTCCTCGGTAAAATAAGTATTTGGTCACCTACAAACAAACAAGATTTCTGGCTCTCACAGACCTGTAACTTCTTCTTTAAGAGCCTCCTCTCTCCACTTGTTAACTGTATTAATGGCACCTGTTTGAACTCGTTATTATAAAAGACACCTGTCCACAACCTCAAACAGCCACACTCCAAACTCCACTATGGCCAAGACCAAAGAGCTGTCAAAGGACACAAGAAACAAAATTGTAGACCTGCACCAGGCTGGGAAGACTGCATCTGCAATAGGTAAGCAGCTTGGTGTGAAGAAATCAACTGTGGGAGCAATTATTAGAAAATGGAAGACATACAAGACATCTGATAATCTCCCTCGATCTGGGGCTCCACGCAAGATCTCACCCCGTGGGGTCAAAATGATCACAAGAACGGTGAGCAAAAATCCCAGAACCACACGGGGGGACCTAGTCAATGACCTGCAGAGAGCTAGGGACCAAAGTAACAAAGGCTACCATCAGTAACACACTACGGCGCCAGGGACTCAAATCCTGCAGTGCCAGACGTGTCCCCCTGCTTAAGCCAGTACATGTCCAGGCCCGTCTGAAGTTTGCTAGAGCATTTAGATGATCCAGAAGAGGATTGGGAGAATGTCATATGGTCAGATGAAACCAAAATAGAACTTTTTGGTTAAAACTCAACTAGACGTGTTTGGAGGAGAAAGAATGGCTGAGTTGCATCCAAAAAACACCATTCCTACTCAGGGATGCAAACACACGTATGGTGAAAAAAGAGAGAACTATTCGAAGCAGAAA